TTTTTTTCCCTTTTTTAAAAAAGTCTTTCTAGTATTAGCTATTAAGGAGTTCTCACTTTTTATCACTTTATAAGGAAAAAAAACCAGCTCAGTTTATCTTTTGCTTATTTTCTGGAGCCTGCAGGAAGCCGCTGCCATCCTAAAGAAAGTCACACATAATAGAACAGCTTTAGTGCAGTAAGCCAGTCTTTCCCAATTCATCAGTCAAAGTGTTATGCAAGTGGCCCCCTAAATTGATAAATTCCCACAGTGCCTGTTGACCCAGCTGCCAAGTGCTCATGCAGCAGGTGGTGTTTTCATGACCACCCTGACAGTAATACAAACTGTTTAGCAGTTGCATTGACCTCTTAGCTATTAACATTGATGCAGGCTTCACTAGGGACTAGTTTTCAAACATGACAGAATTTCTTAAGACTAGAGGTCATGAACAAGTATACCATATAAGAATAAATTTGATATGCTGCTGAGTTTAAATCTTAAAAGCCATAAGTTTTTTACACATTATTCCCATGTAGTAAATCTGGAGACAAGTAATGAGTTTTTGGCATCTCTCCCAGGACTAAAGGTGTAATTTTTAATTTTAGAACTGTACCTGAAGAGATGCTATATTTATTCTATGACAAGTAGTAAATTTAGTCTGTGACAAGGAGTGAAACAAAATTATTTTTCCTTGACATTTTCCCTTATAAAGGAAAAAACCCCAACAACTAATGCACAAATTTTTGTGATCTAGTTAAGCATCATTCTAATGCCTAATATCTTGTGTGCAGGTAACTGAAGCATAACATTCCATATATTTTGTACCACAGTCAGGATTTCTATGGTAGTGTGTCTTGTTTGAATCTGAACATCCAGGAATTTTGTCTGGGTTTTTTTTTTGGTTTTTTTTCCTCACTTTAGTGGAGAAGGAGAGATTTTGATATTGTGTCAAAAGCATGGTGAAGGAATTGCTCTCTGTTCAGTACCATTGTTTTACTGCTGAATTTGGCCCTCCATTTGCATCCCAGTTACAAATAGCACATATAGCAACTAAATCACTCTGTGCATTTTTGGGCAACTGTGAAGAGAAGCACTAAAGAAAGCACAAAATCTCGAGAAACACCATGATGAGTTTTAATCTATTAAAGCACATTAGACTTTTATGTGCCTCTAAACTAACAGTAGAGGCTACTTTCTTATATTAGCTATGGTAAGGTAGCAAAAATTTCTTTCTTTATTGTACAGTCAAGAATTCCCAGCTCGCTGCACGTCAGTGAAGGGATCCATCGAGGGCCCCAGCCCCCAGTACAACTTTTCCTCCATGTTCCATACATTTAGAGTTGTTATACAGTTTCATGAAAACCTGTTTTAACAAGCAAGATATACTGTACTGTACTGTATATATGAACAGCTCTTTAAGATAACTAGAATTGTACAGACCATATAAATAGTCATTATCAGCTACATTTTTGGCTGACTTTCTGTGGACCAAATAGTGCTTACTGTAAGAGTAATCAAGCTGTACCTTTTAGAGTTTTATAGATTGAGGAATACAAGGAAAAATATTCTCTCCAGCCCAGAGTGTGGCTCCATCTATTCCCCTCCACTCTCCACATCAAGAGACACAGCGAAGTACTAGTTATATAAACAAAATCATAGGCTTGTCTAAGTGCAGGAAAGATCAAGTCCCAACAGTCAGTTTCAAGCCTTATGTTACCTTTGTGAAATTCAGTTCAACTTGTGCTGAGATTGAAAATTTCCACCCCTTTCAAGCCTTAAGAATGCAAAGTATAAGTACTGTGGGGCAGAGACTTTCTCTCCACACGTGCTGGTCCCAGAACGGCATTCGAGCCCTGAGAAAGAAGTGTGGCTTTTCCCATAGTACAGCTAAGGAAAATCAGCAATTCTCACACATGAGAAGGATTCTGCTGCAGCTGCATTTGTGTTCCTCTTCTCCTAAGGCACTCTGCCAACCAGAATTTTTTCCATCTTTGTTTCTACTTCACCCCACCATTAATAAATATTATCCAGGGCTGATGAGTACAAGTTATTGATTGATGGTAGACTAAAACGAAGTACCAATCACAAGTACCAAGAGCAGGAGAAAATTTTAAATCATAAGAGTGACCAGCCATACTTGGCTGAATTAAAAAAAAAAAAAAAAAAGCATGATTTCTGCCTTCCTATTACATGCAAAAAGAACCATATATTACAGCATTATCATAGATAAATACTTTACATCTCTTAATAAAATCAATCATTATCTTTACAAATAAAGTATCTTTGTGACGTATGAGGTCATTCTTTGCTAAAGATTTGCCACTGGAGCTTCTTTCCAAGAGATGCTCCAGGAGCCTGAGGTTATACTTCCTGCTAAACATAGCACTGTGCTTGTGTTTGAACAATAAAAAGAGAAGACTGCCATTTAAAGTAACTTGAAATAAATAGGCTTTAATGGTGACAGATGAAGAAAGAATCTTGCCTCCTGTGCAGCTGGCTATAAAGAAATCATCTCAAATGTAGATCTTTTTTTCCCCAGACATAAGAATGAGAAAACAGATCTTTTTGCTTTAAATCTGAACAAGTCTCCAATGAAAATCGTATAATTTTGTAGAACAGTTTCCAAAATAGCACTGCCTGTGAATATTGCATATAGTTTTTACAGAACTGGAATTCCTTACAGGTCAAAAAAATAATGCATTATATTTAAAAGACAGGTGTAGAAATATGTAAACACTAAAACTGAAAGGGTTTCAAATATGCTCTACCAAAGGTGTCAAAACATGTTTCAAAGCCCTTAAATAATACAGGACCTTCAGTGATTCTCAGAAATGGTTTGGAAATCAGAACTTGGTGCCACACTAAAGATTCATCTACACATTCTTTCTGTCCTTAACATGTTTGGGCAACCAGTTCCTCTGTATGGATGCTTAAACAGTCATGGTAGTAATAAAGATTGAGCAGAGTGAAACAAACCAGTGAGCCTGTACTCTATTTCTCAAAGAAACAGGCAATGCAAGCTGCATGCCAAAATGGGAGGGGGAAATGTAAGCCCAGGCAGCTAGTGAGAGGCTTCAATGGCATTAGGTATGAATGCTTATTTTTCTTTAAAATTATTTTTACCCTATCTAATATTACTTTGAATGGCCCCATTGTGCATAGAAATATCTTTTAAAAATCCTATTGGAACATGGGCTTCATTGATAGCTTAGAAGCCATGAGTTCAGCTAGTTAATGTTATTTTCTTTAGCTTAATTTTTTCCCCCTTGATATTTCTTCTGATGTTGAAATGGGAGATAAGCAAGAATGCCAAATTTTCCTCCTCTTTTATTTTTTTCTGTCACAGTTTTCTGCACCTCCATCATACCTATTCTTTTTCAGACTCCAAAAATTATCCTTCTCTCCACACTAGAGTATCAGTCTAGGATTTTCATATTTGACAGGGTAATCAGGGCACAGGTTGCTATTCCAGCTATTTGCATATAATTGCAGGTGTAATACTGATGTTAGCATTATGAACAATGTTATTTTCTATTCTATCCAATACAATTTTGGTTTGGTTTGTTTGGAGTCTAGCTGGACACTTAGCCAAGGTTTCTCAAAGCTCTCCAGAAAACTATTAGAATCTTTGTCCTGAAAATTTAAAGCTCAGGAATGTATGCCAATAGTTCAGATTACTTCCTTGAGAATGAGTAATTTTGTATTTGTCACTAATTAATTTAATTTACCAGAAAGTTCCAGTTCAATTCCTTGATTAGAACACTTGGGAGATTCTGACATTCTTTTCTAAACTTATTTCTGTGCAATGAAACCTATAGAAGAGATAAAACACAGTACCTCCACTGGGAACCTGTAGCCTTGTAATGATCCTAACAGCCTCTACCTGCTGAATTCAGACAGCAAATGAAATAAGTGGTCAGTATGATGACATACAGCTAAATTTCAAAACAAATGAACAGTAAACATCTAAAAAACCGTAGGAAGTTGTATCAACAGTTACGGCACGCTGAAGATAAAACACTTAAAATTTTTACACAGTTAACACTGCGGAAGGAACACTACAATTCTTCCTTTGTTAAGGAAGATATTGCTGTTCTTTTGTCAACAAAAAAGGCTACTGGATATCCAAAATATTTTGTAGAGAGTGACAGAAACAACTGCATTACATAAGACTTGGCAACAAGAAGCCCAACAGAAAAACCCCAGCATCTGAAATATCTTAAGTCAGCTGAACCAGAATTTGCTTTGTGCACACATTTTATAGAATCACCTACAGAAAGGCTGAGGTTGGAAGGGACCTCTGGAGGGCACCTGGTCCAACCCGGGGCTCAAGCAGGGACACCTACATCCAGTTTCCCAGGACCATGTCCAGACAGCTTCTGAGTATGTCCAATGATGGGGACTCCACAACCTCTCTAGGCAACCTGTGCAAGTGCTTGGCCACTTTCATAGAGAAAAAGTCTTTCCTGATTTTCAGATGCTTAAATACACATCCAAAATGCATAATCCAAATATGACTCCATGAAAATATGGAAATAAAAAGCCAGCAGGGTAAAACTGAATTTGTAGGCAGAGGTAATACTTTTGCAGAATTATTATACATCATAATGTGTGACATGAAACTTGTTCAAGTTACTCTTCCCAGCATACAATGGAGAAGTCTAAATCAGCTAGAAACACAAAAAGACACCATCAGATGCTGCCTGTGATAAGCTCTTCAGCAAGCTGATTTCACCAGGTTCATGCTTCAGGACTTCTCAAGGACTACGATTCAATCTTGTAGAAGATCTTGGAAGGCAGTTATGTGAAATAATAGGAAGTAGCACTATATTTTTCTGTAATGTAACATATCATCTTTATGCCTATTGGTTTTGCTGAGGAAAAACGTAATCCCCACAATTTCTCCCACTGATAGTACCATAACAGAGAATCAGGCCTTTAAAAAAACAAAAAAAACCAGAGTTTTTTCTCCTTGACCCTTGGTTTTTAACTGTTTGCTTGGTTTGTATGTTTTTATTCAGGCCTTTAGTCCCTGAAGAATGCAAAAGAACAGCTCAGCCTGCACAGATACTGACATCTGAATGCTCAAGGCATTGTCGGAATGGGCACTGCACTCCCACAGGAAAATGTTGCTGTAATCAAGGCTGGGAAGGAGACTTCTGCAGAACCGGTTTGTATATAGATTCACAGCAACAAGGGGAAAAAAAGCAGTGGCATGTCATAATTTGCTTTCAGTTATCTTTTCAGCTAAATTTTCAATGTATGTTGACCAGTATATTCACCATCAGTTCTAAGACAACATCAAAGAAATACTGATCTTGAGAGTTGTAGGAGAACAACAGTCTTTAGATGAATCCAATCACTAAAGCATCTAATGCGATGTGAACAAGTACAGAGTGCAATTAAGAGCATAAATATGATATACAAGTATTCTTATTTGTTCCACCAAGATTGTAAAATGAAAGGAAGTCAATACACATTCCTTGTTTGGACATTCAACTTCCACTTGCAGTATTATCATTGTCAGTGTCAAACATGGGTACCTTGTCAGGAAAGACGGTAAATAAGAACCTGAATGTTTTTTAGTTTTAGTACTTTCTTGATTTTGATCCTACAAAATGAAATGGCTCCAGTTTGTTAAAGAGAATTTTATGTACAGCTTACCACGAAGTAGAACGCTATTGTGATCCCTTATTACAGTGATTTCATCAACTCTTGTTACTTTAGCTTTTAAAAGTCACTTGAAGAAACTGTGATCAAATTAGATATTGAGTGTACCAGCAAAGGGGTGAGGTGAATGAACCTGGAGTGCCACAGCTGTCCCACAGAGGCTGTGGTTATGTCTGAGCTGTATAATAATATAATAGCAGTAGAACTCAAAGGAGAGTCAGAGATTAAGACAAAGCAAGAATTCCACAATGGACCAGGGATAATTCAGGTGTGAAGGGCACTCAGGAGGGCCCTGGTGAAGCAGGGTCAGCTATGAAGTCTTTAAAGCCTCGAGTGTGAATTTCAGCAGTCTCCAGGATTTCAGTGATGAGCAGGAGTGACTTCAGAATGAAATGAAATTATTGAAACCACAAATTATGTATCTCAGGGAGAGATTCATGAGCAGACCATCATCCAACCCTGCAACAAAAGCAGGTTGGAGAAACTCAATTGTCCTCACTTGTCAGTCAGAGCTTAGCTACACTTGGAGGATGAGGCCCATTCTACAGCCTTTCTCCAAGTGGAACTTAAAGCAAAAAATGCATCCAATGTGACCATAAATGGGTCTTGAATAATCCGTTTTGTCTAAAAAAATACAGATTTATATATGTAATTTGATGGATGCCATGAACAAGAAAGGTACAGAAAATATGTAGACTAAGAATCTTTCTTTCCTGTGTCCTATGCAACATTTAACTGAGAAATTCCAAGTTGGACCTCAAGCCACTATTATAATTTAAATAAGAAAAATTACCTTACAAGGTATCAGTTTCCTTCTAGTGTCATTAAGAAGTCTGTGGATAAAATCAAGAAACCTGTATTTATATAGTGTATTATAAATATCTGTAAATCGATATTAGAGTTTATTATAATAACATTAAACAGCACAATGCCTGCAAAGAAAAAAAAAAGCAAGATACATTGTATATATCACAGTGCTGTGACTCTACTCCAGAAGAAAATACCTCCACAACTAAAGTTATTATTACTATAACACTGGCTACAATTTAAAATAGCAGTTATATTTGAACAGCTGAAGCAGGCTGATTAACCTAGAACTCGATAGGTAAATCCTCTGTTAAACAGAGAGAGGAAAATTTTGAAACCTATATAACTGATAAAAACTGTTGAAAAAAACGCTCTGGCTCTTTTTTCACTAAATGGAATTCAATCCTGGTCTCAGGGTTAAGTGATGCAAGAGCCAAGGGAGCGCAGCTCTGGTCAGTTTTAGTCTGCTCTGCTAAGGAGTGTAGTGCAGAACTCTGGGTGTACAAAGCAATTTACTTGAGATTCAGCACTTGCTGGCTTGGAGATAGCCAGGTGTTAAAATGTCTCACCAACTTCAGGACTTCTTTGGGATGCCAGCATAAGAAATGGAATGAGGTAGACCACCACTGGTCTAGATCTAGGTTCAAATTATAAGATATGTGGAGCCTGAAGTCTTTTGAAATGGGTTGTCTATTCACTCCAATATCAAATCTGAATATGGGAATTGGACATTTTAAAAAATCTGTTATTTATCAGTCTTTCTGGGGTGATATACAGACATACAAAATTACTTCCTCCCCCTGATATTTTTGAACTTCAAAAAAATATGCTTTCACAACTTCTAATATTTCATTTTTTCCGTTTTGTTTTTCATTTATATGCTTGCTTTATCACTATAAGGCTAGAAAAGCCTTTAATGAATGTGTAACTGCACCTTTTCAGTTTGTGATGTTCTAAACAAATCAGAAAATCCCTGTTTTTTTATCCGCAGCAAAATGTGACCCGGCCTGTCGACATGGAGGTGTCTGTGTAAGGCCTAATAAATGTTTGTGTAAAAAAGGCTATCTCGGCCCCCAGTGTGAGCAAGTCGATAGAAGCATCCGAAGAGTGACAAGGGCAGGTATTCTTGATCAGATCCTAGACATGACATCCTATTTGCTGGATCTAACCAGTTATATTGTATAGTTCCTGGGACTCTTTAGAAACTATACTTTCAACGGGCATTTGTTTTGAATTCTGTCATTTTCAAAAGACTCTTATCCTGCAACAAATACCAGTGATTTGAGTTACTTTATTAATTTAAGTATAATATCCACAACTCTGCAGAAAAAAATTCTTTGTATGTGTGTAAATATTCCCCGTACATCTCCATGGACGTCCCGATATCCAATATGTGCACACGTACACACGCACACACGCTGCCACAAACAAGCACAGTTTTACAGAAAGTGGAATTTTTTTTTTTTTTCAATATTTATTTCTTCATGAGAAATAGTTTACAAAGGTAATTCCACCGCCATAAAACACATTCTCGTCCCAGGACTTTTCACGATGTCTTAATGGATTCTTTGATATCCCAGCAATCTCGTGTCTATACCTATCTGATCATAGCAGTGAGGAAGCAGTTTTCAAACATCACTGTATAAACTGCTGGACTTAATAAAATGCAGTTGTAACAGTTTCTAAGGTGAACTGAACTACATCATGAGACAATATTTCAGAACTACTTAATGCATTCCTATCTAGGCAATTTATTGTAAGACTGTAACCTTCACTTTCATCAATGTAACTCTATTACAGAATGTTACGCATTTCTTTATCTAGCATAGGTGCAAAAATCTGGTTATTGCAACTTAATATCAAGATTGTTTCAAGTATTTAATAATTAAATTATATTTGCATATTTCAAAACCAGTCATCCTAGAAGATCTGCTTTTTATCATATATTTTATTTAACGGTGGGCATGGGGTTCATATTACATATTTATATTTTTTTTTTTATTTTTATAATATCATCTACATGAGACAGTTTTACCATGTCCTGTAAAATACTAAAGTTACGTTTTTCACCAACTTAATTGGAAAGACGGGGAAAGAGAGAGCAAAACACACACGCTTTAAGGTGTTGTGGATCTAATGTAGAAGTGTATCCTTGTGTCAACTTGTGTTTATTTACGACGGATGAGAAAAAAAAACAACCACCAACCAATCATAATAAAATTTCAGCATGTGTTAAAAATGTCCATAAAGTGGTTTTCACTGTAACAGGACAGTGTAAGAGGTTATACAGGCAGGCTGCTGCCAGTGTCACACTGAACGGAACATCCCTGGACTGGAGTTCCCACTTGCACGTGTTGCCTGTGCACAGTGTCACTTGTACAAATCATATAGTGATTCTTACCAAATGTAGTTCTAAACGTAAATGTTCCTTCAAGAGCTAACATAAAACTGAGTCTTTGTAAATGTATGAACAGATATGGTGTACATGCTATAGTCAGGTTTCCTAAGGTATTAATAGTCTAATTACGTGTATATGCGGAACTGGTGCCCTCTTATCTCCAGCTCTAGGGCATTATTGGTGGTTTCTTTGCTCACTGCTTACCAGCTATTAGGTTTCCTTTGCACTATCTGGCTTTTATAAAATCCTGCCTAAGAAAAGAAAGCGGAATAGCCACATCCTATGGTCCTTATAAGCAGCTGCTCATGCATCAACAATTGACAACACTTTAGTCAATGAGATCTAAAAGATTTTAGCCTTATTACTCTCCAGCAGCAACATTACCTCTCCAGGGCAGCAACATGCAACAAATTCTCCTTTATAGAAATTTGTCAGTCTTCATTTAGTAGGTATTAAAGCTGAAATTACAGAGTGACTCATACTTGCATTTCTGTGTCTTACACACTCCAGCTCAGAAGAACAGAAAATTACATCTGCCTTCCATATATGTTTGCCTGGGTTTTGAGTGACCTCATGCCCAATGAAAATTGGTTGAGAAATCTTGGTTAAGTGCTCAGAGAACAATGGTCTGCATTAAAAAGTGCATGCATAATTTTGCACAATGTAGATTCAACTGACAGTCCATTGAAGACATCTTGGGATTAAATGAGCATGAAGACCAAACTGCCCTCTCACCCCAGAAAAGGGTGGTCCCTTATAGTCACACGAACACTTCATTGGCTAAGCAGTGTGACCAATCTCAAAATGAACCCTGTGGTAGCATCTGTAGGTTAATAGCTGCTCTTTGTCTCCTCTGCTTTCTGCCTTTAGTCTTTTCCCTGAATTCCACCACAAAAAGTTTTACAATTAAAAAATGTCCTGACAACCATTTTTGTAAATTGACCTTAGCATCTAATCTTTCTTTATTCAACGTGTGTGACAAAAATGTGAACTTCTCCTGAATGAGCCAGCTGTCTAAATCTGTCACATAGCACGGTTTTATTACACTCTTCATAATCAGTAAAGCAAGAAAGTTGCTGAAGTATTTTAGCAACGTTTAAATATCTGACAAAGATAACATCTTTAACACTTTCTTCAATGAAATATATTTAAAAATAAACCCGACTTTAATTCCACTGTGACACATTATTTTCAACAACCAGTTGGAGAGATGTCATAGTTCTTTTTTCCCTGCTTAGTTCCTTAAAATATACCACAGATGGCACCTAAATTGAAGAGTCACAATAATATATATGCCATAGTCGTGCAGAGAAGGGATAACAATGATCTTCGAGTTTTGATCTTAATAATAAGACAATTTAGTCTTATAAGACAACTAGTGAAATCAGAAAATAAAACTCCAGTAAGAGCTAAGAATTAAATCCAGGCCTTATTCAAATCAATGGCAAAAACTTATATCAGCTGTGGTGCACCCAGAAATCACGTTCAAAATTTAAGCAAAATACTTCAGTTTATTTTATTGAAACAAACATTTTCTGTTTGAGTCATTCCACCAAAACTTCAAAACTAAGATGTAATCTAAATGAAGATTAGAGGGAAAGGGGAGATAGTTTGTGAAAGTGTTTTGATTCATTTTTAAATCATCTTTTATATCATGGGAAAGCAAACATCTGCATTAAGCCCACATGTACATAGGAAGTCCCACAGCAAAAGAAGTATTCTCACAAAAAAAAAAAAAAAAGAAAAAAAAATTCCTAGCTGCTTATTTATCAAAAGAAATTATACTATTAAAAAGAGTGAGCAAACCCCAGGCCTAGCCACCCAAGATGCTGATATAAAAAGGGCAACTGCAGTAATTGCCCTGAGAACTGGCATACAAAAAAAAAAAAAAAAAAAAGGGTCTGTAGAAAGCCTGTTGCCAGTTAGGTCATTCTGCAGCCATTCTTGCACAACCTCTGAGAGTGTCCCAGAATAAAACTGAGCTTATAAATGAAACTAGATAAATGAGGCAATTAGATAAGGGCCTCCAGAAGGGATTTTATGTATGTGCTCAAGTTGTCTCTGTCTCTCTCTCCTAATCTTTTATTCCATTCATTTCTTCCTTTATTCGGAGATACTGCCTCTCTGTTCCCAACACATTGTACATTTCTAGCATTCTTTGAGGCTTTCCACTGTTAAAAGAGAACAAACATACCTATTGCAAGAAACATAACTCTGTCTCTGGTGTCTGCTAGTTTCAAACCTCTGTTTTATTATTTTGGAACAGAAAATTTTCATTTTTCTCTGATCACTGATCAGAAAGAAGACATATTATCGGAATATAAGGAGAAATACCTTTACTCCATTGATAAGTAGGGAGTCAAAAAGATGTTATGTAAAATCAGCTCCAAATTGTTTCACTCCATTTCAGAAAAACAGTAAATTCATTTTTCTAATGCGTCCAATAAGAAATATTAACTCAAACTCTCCCCCTCTGGGAATAAATTCCTCCTGTTAACAGTCAGGGACACAGATGCAAACCCTTTGTACCTTTAAATCCTCACAGCTTATTATATATCTTGCAAAGAAATTGTATGTTAGTTATAAATAAGGGGACAAATTCTGTATCACCGACATGACACCTCTCTTTATCTCCTTCTTTCATTCATTTCTCCACATTGGGCTTTGCAGCTCCTTCCTTTCTAGAACCACAGCAAACATCAATAATCCCTGGTTGCTGCAGGTGATGCTTATTATGTAATTCTACTTGTATCCATGAAATAGGCATTTATAAGATTATAATAATGGCCAGCCTTCGCGAGCGAAGATGCGGGGAAGGTCTTTATACCTTCCAGCCTGCGCATTGGATTTTTTAGGTGAGACACAGTGTGCGCGGAACTGAGCCCACCCTTTAATCCTAAGGTTCATCTGCCAGGGCCAAGCGAGCTTGGACGGTGGCAGCGAGCTCCTCAGGACGTAGATGGATTGCTTTAAAGGCTAACGAGCTCCATCTGCCCGGGAGTGTCCCTGACCAGGAATCGAACCCAGGTCTCGGTGGTGACAGCGCCGTGCCCTTAACCACTAGACCACCAGGGGCTCCATTTATAAGATTAGGTCTACATGGAAAATACAAGTTTGAGGACATCCTGTTCTGCTTATTTTTCCTTAATTAAGTAAATTCTTTACAAGACATTTATGTTTTTTAATTTACTATCCTTAAATTTATCTGTGTATCAGTTTATTTAGGAATTATACCATTTTGGTCTTCTATCCAACTTAAAATGTGATCCTTTTCTCAGAACAAAAACCAAACCAAACCAAACATAACAAAAAACCAAACCCAAACAAAACCACAAAACAAACCCAAAAACAAACAAAAAAAACCAACCAAAAGGAAGTCAGGAAGCAAATAAAAACTAATTTTTCCCCTTTTGCAATAATAAAAATTCACTGATATTTTGCAATTAAAAAAAAAAAACGTAACATTCTCACCAAAAAGGCAACCAACCCTTTAAATATATTCCAATTCAAATTTGAAGAAAATTTGTACCAAATAATCTAAGTTCTTGCTAAAAAAAAACCCAACAAATATTTATGTAAGTAGTTTCGGGACAAAATGTTTTAAAAACATTGAAAAAAGACTGTTTTGCTGAAAAGTTCATTTTCAACTACAGCGTCATTCAGTGAAATAAGACACATACTTTTTGGGACATAGGTGTGAAACAGCAGAAGCCACCTGAAAGCTCAGTATGGGATTACTTTAATCTTTGAGGGCCTGACTCCAAGTCCATTGATGTTAACTCCTGTTGACTTCATTAGTTATAGGATTAAGTCTTTAAAAGATATCCACTTAGCTGGCAGAAGATCTTAACTTCAGGCATCACTGCACACATGACCTCTCTGTGTCGGCATCTCCAATCATTAAACCAATGTTTTCCAGAATAAGACTGCAGATTCAACACTGCACAAAGCCATATGAAGCATATCCAATCCTCTTGGGTTTCCTTAATGGATATTCCAAACACTTACACAAAATCTGCCAGGCTTCTTGATAATTCTTGAAAAATGTTGAGCAATTAGCTCACAGGTTTTCTCTTTCACACACATATACACTTGTTTCCAATATGCCCAGTAAGCAGGAAAGTAATTGAAATGTCAAGTCACTGTCCCCATTTTATGAAATGGCCATAGTGAGATGGGGCCCAAAGTAGCCCCCACAGATGCTCATGAACATCCACAGAACAGTTCCCTCGGCTGTTTTGAGTCCAGTATTACAAGGGGTGATTTTGGCAGTATTAGGTGCATTTTCAAACCCTTTTTTTCCTGTCTGTTTAGCGGGGATAGTGTAACATTTCAATCAAGACTATATCCTAATCCAAAAATGTTGTTACCCTTACTAGTGAGACTAGCAAGACTGAAAGTGGTGAGAGCCCTCAGTACTGACATGCCAGGCCTAAGCGATAATGGGGTGGGACATGAGCAGACGCTACCTAGATGTGTCCTACACAGGGACATGTCTTGCTGCTTGCCTTTGTTCTCATTTCTTTCAGTTACAACTCTGCACACAGGATTTATTGTGCTCTAAAATGTTTTCAACGTCCAAAAAAATCTTAGCACAGCGATTAATTCTGCGTGGATTTACACTGGGTAGACTAACTAATCAGACAGTATTTCTAATGCCATTGATGGGAAAAGAGAAATGTTACTGTTTTATAACTGACACATCCACCTTTTTCCTTCAGTTCACTCACGAGTTATTAGTAATTGCTAGTTGGTTTATATATTAGCAAAGGATTATCATGTTGTTCCATAACCCAAACTCCCGTAGGCTTCTGTAGGAAATTTTTCTTCACATTACACTGTACAGATTGATTTGAAAGACAAGTGACACACCTGCTTCCAGAGCTCTCTGTACTGAAAAGATATCACCTGGCAATCATTTCATGCCACAGAAATTAACAAACATTTAATATTCTGTGTTATATACGTATAATGAATGTCTTTGCCTATTGTCTACACAGACAGGTTTCCACAAACAAAAGTGCCAGAAATTACTGCACAGACAGCAAGCTGCATTATTGGAGAAGAGTTCTATTTCTACTGATAAATAACAACTTTCCATCTGCTGCAAGTTATCAATAGGGTCCAATGTATCATGTAGTAAAGTTCCTCTTATGGTCTATGAGATTTTACTATTTATTTTCATTATGCAATGAAAACAGAAGTAAAAAAGTAAAAAAAAAAAAAAAAAAAAAAAAAAAAAGACAAATTGCTTTAATTCCCAGGAAATTTCAGAAGGGAAGCACCAGCTAAAGATATACTGAGACCAGAAACCATCTGGTATTAAGCCACCAGATGTATCTCCATTATTACCAGAAGCAGTAACCCTACTCTGTGAATTACCCAGAAATGCTATTAGCTGTCCCCCACAAAATATACTGCAGAATTTAAACTTCAAGTCCCAAATGAGAACAATTAGATTGTAATGGGAGCCAAGCAGAAAAGGAAATAACAAACTTCAGTCACTTGAGAACATTGCTGTTGTGACATTCCCGTGTTCAATTAGTTTTATTTTATAGTAGCTGTCAAGTACTGTATGTACATTTGAAATGTGGGAAAATAGCTTAGAAAATATCCTTCAAACTAGGTTTAAGTATCTTCTATAAGCTGTAACTAAAACTAAAAACTGTATTATACTACTAAGCATACACAGGCACCAATCTAGCAGAGCACTGGGAGCACACAAGTAATTTTAAGCATATGAGCCTCACTGAAGTCATGTGCTTAACATTATTAATATAATTAATTACGTGCTTTCTTGGTTTGAGACCTTACAAGTCTTTGCAAGTCTACCTACATAGACTACATAAGCTATATGTGCATTTCTTTTTAGGGAGACAGCATGACTAAAGTTCACAACAAGAGAATTCAGTTACTGTCTGTCACAAATTCTATATATCCAGAAATAATTGCATCTTTGTGCCTCCAATTTTTAATCTGAAAATTAGTCAAATAAATCCTTATAAAGCGCTTTGAGCTCTTCAAATGAAAAGTGCTATAAAAACTACAAATTATTATTATATTATTGAACACCATGTATGTATACACACTCTTATGTAATATATAATATATGTATAATGCATATAAATTCTAACAAATGTATTTGTGTATTATCTGAGAAATGGAACAGTTGTATCTGGAAGTGATAAATACATAGAGTTGGATTTATTGTTAATCTGTGGATTTAATGATTTTTTTAGACAAAAGGATGTTTAAGTGTATAATTGCTTTTCTTAATTTAATATATTTATGTAAATGCATGCCTGAAGTTCTGGATAGATAGTTATTCTGTGTCCCTTAAGCTAATAAAATATATTAAACTTTATCTTACTATACAAGGTACACCTGCTGCTTTAAATTTTTTTTTGTTTTAATATTTTTTTATGACTAAATGCATAATTTAAAGTTCATGAAATTTTAATTTTAATCAGCTCTTTGATCCCTGCAGTAAAAGCAAAAAGACATCATTTTATATATTCTTTGAAATGTACACTAGTCTTATTTATATAAATTCTAAGATGCTTTCATAAAATGTGACTGAACACTGCTATTATTTTTGGAATGGGAAATTTTGGAGTGGGGTTTCCTGGATAGAAAATTAAGACATCTATATTGAAAAGATACCTGTTTCACTGGAAGCAATACATGAGTGTAAATGCAGGTGGAACAAGGGGATTTCACGTCCAGGCACCTTGGAGAATGATGGAAGAAACATCGGGGTCCTTTATTTGATTGGTTTATTTAATACCTTCAGAGAAGCATGTCATCAAATCAACATACATTAACCTCAGAGGTACCATTTCCAGTGATTTAAACAAGGGCCATAAAAAATGGATGCAGTGTTGAGTTCTTTCCTTTTCTCCCCACTTTAAGTACAGGTTCTGTGCCATTGAACTCAGCACCTCAGCGTACATGTGGGAGCGGGGCCAACTCAATATAGGAACCCACTGTATTTTTTTGATACAATAGAACAATTAATCACAACACTTAAATGCCAACTGCACTTGCAGCTTCTAACTTGGGGAGCAAAAACCAGTTTGGACAGGGAGCACTAAAGAGCCAAGGGCTTCTTCACACAGTGAGTTTACTTTCGTGGTTTTAAAATGCTGTTGTAATAGCCTTACACGTTTAACTTAGCTAAAGTCTTTAGCCTGTCCTGTGTTTATTTTTTAGGCTAAAGAGTGAAGCATTACCAACTATGATATTGCTGCTATCTTTACATTCAGATCTAAGCCAAAATAATCTTGAAATTTTCATGAAATTGTTTTTCCCATTTTTCAGCTAGTTATACCATTAGTGATATGATATGGGCTGGTGGCCAGCCAGAGAACTAGGATCCAAGGAAAATTTGAACTTCACCCAAATTTGAGGATATTTGGAGACTGTATTTTACTTCAGCTTTTCAACAAATAAATATAGCAGTTGCAGCAATGTTCTTTTAAATACATTTTCTTTAATTTTTTTTTTTCATTTCAAGAAGTGCTCATAACAAGAAAACAGCTGGAACATGGCAAATTTAAAAAAAAAAAAAATTAAGAAATCCAGGAAGATTGTTTTGATTTTTTTAGTGGGACCTATATATTCATGTAGAAAGTAAAAGAATTCTATGAGGTATAGTACATAATTTCAATAAATACAGTGCAGTATGTAGTTCTGGTGACATCATGAGTCACTGAGTTTGTTCTTGTAATTTATTAAGACATTATGAAAACTCACTGACATATTTATAAGCCTTGAAATTAACAGCTACCTTTCATTCCTTTTACAACACATCAGACATGAGTTTTACTTAAAGAGTTATATATACTCGGCTGTGTACAGCAAGACTGTAATTCTTCCTAGAGCTTCTGATAGTATCCAAAAGCTGAAGGGCCAAATTCTGCTCTGCATTTGGATGAGCCAAAGGAGGTATCCTTGGCCTCTTGAAAGAGGCTTGTGTGGTTTGTCAAAAGTCATCAGAACTTTCAAAAGGAATTCAAAGCCTAAATGCACAATTCAGGAGCATTTCATTTTAGTAATAGTTACTACTGATATATTTGATTCACTATTTAATCACTATTCCCAAAATATACACTTTGAATAAGCTTCTGCCCTTTTATTGCCTTCACTATATTTCCACGTACAGCTCTGTTCTTTAAGTCCTTCGCTCTTTATTTGTTTTCATATAGATGTGCCGCTTCTCCATTCCATTGCACTAAATTCACTACATATTTACAGGTTTTTAACAAGACTGATTATGGCACAAGTGTTTTTTTTCTATTTTATTTTAGTGAAAGCACTAAGTAAGGGATCAGCCCCTGGTTTAACTCTAAATTAAAAATGCACCGCAAGTAAGTAGGGTAGAATCTTTAAAATGCCAAAGAATCATTTCAGTCTATGTGGTTGCACTTATTTATTTTGGGGGAAGGGTTGGTTTGAGTCATATTTGATGACATGTCTACGGCTGACATACATCTCTGGGCAAAGTAAGACATAGCTTTGGTTTTGGAAAACCTCACTGAACAGTGGTTTTCTTGTTTGCTTGGTCTGGGGTGGTTTCTGGGGGGGGTTAAGTTCTTTTTATTTATTTTTTTGTCTTTCAAAGCTAGGACTACTCCTGGATTTTGTCCCATTTCCAAAATTTTGGGCTAAAACAGTTCAATGAAGGGCTCTTATGAACTCTTATGAACTCAATGTTCAATATTGAAAAGATATTGTCAGTATTTCAGTCATCTTCAACTCTTGTTTGCCTTACATTAGTACAAATTCACTGATGTCAGTGTTGTCAGGAGGTGAATCAGGTTAAGTAGTTTCTTTCCCTTCTCACTCATTTTGTATCACACACATTTGTATCACACACATTTGTATCACACACATCTTGTATCAAACACATCTCACTCAGAAGTGTCCGTCACATCGCTCCACAATGAAAACAGTGTCATCATACTAGCAGAGTTTGCTCTGGTTGGACACACTGGAGCAACTTCCACATGTTTCATCTATGTACATTCCATTACTCAGAGAAGGACTGACTGAGGGAGGAAATTCAGGAGTTGCGTGCCAATCCTCCACTAGATCAAGTGGCACATTCTCCTCTCAATATTAGAAAATTGAAATTCTGCAATCCATATGGCAAGCTATTCCCACTTCAGGGAAGGAGGACGTATATGTGAATCAAATGGCTGCATTTGGTTCAGGAGGTTTACAAAGAAGAGACCCAAACTCTACAAACTCCCATGCAGTGGAATCTGTGCTTTCCTGATCGGCTGAATAGAACAGGTGCAGATATAGCTTTCAGGTCTTTAAACTACACCAGCCCAAATAATTTACAGCTACAGAGCATGTTTAGCAGTTTCAAGCAAACATTAGAAAGGCAATGCCCATGGTGCAGATAAAGTGCTTATGAGAAAGGTGGATGTAATATCTGTACTGGCACAGAATGCCTGTTCTACAGTAATAGCTGCAAAATGCCTTCTATAAAGCATAAGACCGTTAGTACAGCTGCAGCTTTTAATAGTTATTGAATTTCTTGATCCGGGAGGCAGATCCAGAGCAAGGGAAATGGACAAGTGAAACTATAAACTGGTATTTTACACCTATGAATGTAATATCAAATCAATGTGGTCCAACCCACTTCTATTTTTTTAAGAAATTCATCCCTAGAGAGCCTCGTGCTGGATCTTACCTAGCAAGCCATCAGAAGGCACTTATGTCAGCCTAACCCTGAGGTTTCCAAGATGTATAACTGTGCAGTATACATACACCTCTTGCTTATTATATCTGTAACAGAAACCTGCAGCCACACACACATGCATAATACTTCATGTGCCATCTCTGCACTTGCTCAAAGCTATTTGGTTCTAGATTGATGCAAACAAGCAGTGAAAAGGTAAGCAAGAGCTTAGGTAGTTTTAAAGCTGGTTCTGCAAGAAAAAAATTATAGTGAAGTCCCTGAATTGCATAGATTTCAATATAGGGAACAGGATGCAACTATTGAAGGATGCAACAGGATGCAACATGGTAAATTACCATGGTAGCTTATTAAAATTATTCCAAGGAATACAGTAGTCTGACATTTTCTGGGTTTTCTAATTTAAATACCTTAGTAGTAAGATAAATTTGGGTCTAAGAGGCCCCTCTGAATTACTAGAATCATATTTACTTTGCATTTATAATTACAGCTTTTTGTTTCTGATGGAACATCTACAGAATTATCAGATTCTCAGTATG